TGACTGTGACCGGCCGATGTTTTGGGGGCGTCCTGTGTAGTTAGTGGATATTCGGGTAACGAAAGACTTCCTTTTCTGTGCTCTGGGCATTGTTTACAGTCCATTTATCAATGTGGTAACGCATCGCTTAGGGTTCAGAGATTAATAAAGTTTGGCGTCGGATGATAGCCGATGGGTTCTGAGATTGCATTTCCATTTTATAGAGGTTATTGAACAGCTGACGTGTTCATCAATAATGATGAAAAATCTATTTTTTATAACACTTTTGGTGTACTAGACTATTACTAATATACACATACTTTCAATTTTGAGTTTAACAGAAACGGGTAAATAGATTTAAATGAAATCCAAAAAGTAAAACAATATTTAAAGAATTTCTGGACAATTGATTTGTTTTCTTTACAGGATTCAGTGTTTCAGCTAGAAACTCTGGCAGCCATTAACAGGAAAGGAATATCTACAGATCCCGAGTGGTTTGGTCACAAGCAGAGAAACAAAGTCTCCTTATGTTTTGTAGTGTTTTTCTGAAGCCACCTCCTCTCCTCAGCTGTCTGCGCTAGAGCTGAACCTCCTCCCTTCTCTCAGGTTTCATTGTTGTTGCTCAGGTATGTTCTCCTCTTTCCCGCTCCTTGAATCCCTCCCCCGTCCTCCCTCCCTGCTCTTAGTAGTTCCCATAGCGACTTGCTGGGACAGACACCAAAATCTGTTTTCCGAGATGGCCGATCCTCGCAGCCCTGCTGTTGTACGTGTGAGATGAGCAGTGAGTTTTGAGCTCTCGGGAGGGGGAACCCAGTGAATTTTCCCCCCGCCCCCCATTATTTCCACATAGACAAAGTAATGTGACTCACAGTTGGAGAACTTCTGTGTCTTGCATCGGCATGCCCCTCTCTGGGTTGAATCATCAGTACAAAATATTAATAACCATGACAGAAAAAAACCTGGCTCATGATTAAAAAGTTGAAGGTACAAGCCTGTGGACATAAAAATTACAGAACGTGTTCATTGATGAGCTTATGTACACTAAATGTGTATGTAACTTAGGATATATACAGGTTTAGATAGGAATACAGAACTGGGGCTAAACCTTTCCAGAACCAGCGGCTCCTCACACTGCACACCACAATTAACAATATCAGGAAAACTAGAAACAAAATGAGCCAAGTTTAAATTTAATAAACTATACAAGTAATGTTTTGAGTATGAACTATACTGCTTCTCACACATTTTGCATGCTGTGTCATTGATAGATAATTGTCTATTTCTCATTTCTTCCTGTCAAACGTCTCTTCACCGGTCAATTTGCTGTCTGAATAACTTGCAAAATTGAATGTTGATAGCCAGCATCAGAGCACTTTGTTTATCATGCCCAGACAATCAGGTTTTATATCCTGACTGGTTATTAAAGAAGTCAGAAGTTGGTTGTTAGTCATGGACTTAAACGTCCTGCCTCAGCTTCACAATAAAATCTCCAGTGGGTTGCAGGTGGAAAGATTTTAATGTGAAGATTACGATTTAAGATGAACTCTGCGATGGACTGATAGACGTTACTCTTCTGCCGGCACAGCCAAAGAGAGCAGATCAGAAAACAATGATGCTGATGTCTGTCTGTTAACTGAGGGTTTAAACATAAATCTGCTGCTCTGACACACAGGAACTCTAAAACTGCTTTTAAAATTGTGTCTTTACTCTCAACTACACTGCCTGCCTGACACCTTGAGCCAGTCAGATTTGTGAGTTTACTGCATCATTACACCTCAATCATTTGAGAGATTAAAATGATTTTTTTTTTTAAAAACGACAGGACAAAGTGTCTTATTTAAACCAAGTATTGAGGTATGTGTCTGACTTCTACATTCCAAGCCAGTTCACCGCAACAAAAATGTTTTGTTGTTTCACGATCAATCTTAATTTGTAATAGTGTGCATGCCTTCAGTGATGACGTGTCTCTAAAAACAGCGTTTGGATGAATGCAGGTGTGACATTGCTTTGATGTGGTGTATTCCTTTGGAATGTTGTTTGTCTGGATGTTGAAGGCTAAAAAAAAACACACTGAACAAACGTATCTTCAGATCAAGTCTGATGTGTTTCTTTTAGTCCAGCTTGACTCAGGCTGTGACAAAACACTATTTATCATCTTGAATTTGGGTAGTGTTCCTCCTCTGGGAAGCAAATATTTAGTCGTATTTTGGGTTAATTGTTCAATGAGCTATAAAGACAATGGTTAATTTGTTTTTTAAATGGTTAGATCGTAGTTTTCAGATGCATCATACTTAACTGAAATACCTGCTGAACATTTCATCTTATTCACGCCAGGATTCCTTCTTATTCTTTCCCTTTCTGTAGTCTTTAAATTTATTGTTTACCTCCCCCATCATTCCCTTTTCATGTGTAGACTTGCGTGACAAGCCAGAGCTCATTCAGTTAAACCACAGGTTCTTTAAATGGGAAGTTTGCTTTAAAAGTGTGTTGAACAGTTGTAGGAGTCCCCTGGCACATTTTATTTGAACTTTACGGTTAGTGCAGAGGTGGCTGGTTTCTGACCTGAACGTGTATATAATGTTTTGCCACTCATCTGGTTTCTGAAATGACCTTTTCTGTGATTACATGAAACACTGGCGACTGGGCCGGCTGGTATTCAGTGTGAATGAGTGGTACTAAATGTTAATTTTATGATTTTAAGAACAGGCTAACAGAAGCTTTGAAACTTAATTTTCATGTCAAACACACAGGAATTTATTTTTGTACGGCTCACATTAAAATAGGTACTGGACAAAATAATAGAAACACCTGAAACCTGTGAAAGGTGCAAAATCTATGCAGTGATGAAATGAAAGAATAGACAGATATAGAGGGGGGGGAAATTATTTGGTTAGAATAGTCCAGACTAAAAATGAGTGCCTCTCCATTTGACAAATTTAAGTCCTGCTAGTCCCTTTCCGGCCCTGTTGAGCGTTTTCGTGTTTGTTTAGTTCTCGTAAACCAGTCTAATGAACCTGATCAGCTGTGCTAATGGACTCCTCCACCACATTAAACATTAAGACGATGGGAAGGATGAGGAGATGTTGGCCGAATGTTGCAGGGATTTCCAACGGGACAGCGGATAGGTTACATTGTGAGATTCACACGTTGTCGTTGTTGTCCGAACAGAGATCAAAGATGATCATTCAACAGTCTAACAGTTACTACTTTATCTCCAAAACAAACCATTTTAACGGGACATACAGGTGTATGCTATACATGTAAATTTACTCTTTCTCCTTCTCCTGGTTTTTATATAGAAAGTGGGCAAAATACTGTTAATAGGCAATAGACAAACTGCCCTCTGTATGTGGATTACTCTTGGTTAACCGAAGATTTATGAAAATCTGTCAACAGTTACCAGCACCTTATTTTTCCCAGAACAAATTCAAGGGGGGATAATAACACAATGAAGGAATGGTGTGTGTGTGTGTGTGTGTGTGTGTGTGTGTGTGTGTGATGGCACATGTACCCTAATGGAAAAAGTTTGGCTTAATGACTTGGTTTAATAGACGCTGGACAACAACGGAGCTCTATGGCACAGGGGAATAAGAGGAATCTGATTACACACACAATCCAGGTTGATGGGATACATTCGTTTTTGTTCATAGGATTTGTTGTTTGTCTGTCATTATCCTTATTTAAATACACTTTTTAAAAAAAAGAATGAGAATACGTGTGCTTGTGGCAGATTCTGCTATGAATGATGACTTCTTCATAAAACATCTTGACATTTTTGAGGTTCATCCTGCTTTTCCAGTCATACCATCCCGGAATCAAACATGTTGGAAAACCTGATCAAAAGTTAACATGGGAGCGTGGTTTCTGCATTATAAATGTAGCCGTGTTAAGAGAGTTTCTGTCAGTCCTTTTAATGTGAAACAGGACACCAGGTTTCCTGTTCACTCTGACACGTCTAATGTCAGCTCCCTTCTGTGTCTTTTGTGGTTTCTTTGACCTATTCAATGTTCCATATCAATTGCATTTGTGTATATAAAAGACACATAGTGTACATAAAGCTGTTATTTTTCGGTTCGATTTTTATTTAATGTGTATTTTATTATGTTTTACTGTGTCGTATCGGGAGCTGCTGTGACAAGTGAATTTCCCCACTGTGGGATCAGTGAAGTCTATCTTATCTGAAAACAGCTGATTAAAGCTTGCGTAAACTGTAATGAGTCCTGCGTTGGAAGTGACGACGATCAGGAGGGTGCGGTCACATTCTGCATATGTATACATAAACACCAACTACGTGACTCCTGAACACACAAACACACGCAACATCACCCCACACACACATCAGGTGGTTTGGTGGAAACCCGGTGGTTAAATCTGACAGTAAACCTCAACTGCAGCTCTTATATTATATTTCTGTATTTGTTCAGTGAGTATTGGTGGCTGGACACAACACATCAAAGTTAATGTTCAGTTTTGATTACATGAATTTCTTCTAATTTTAAATGCTCTTAATTATTTTCATCTATTGAGGCATGTAACTGATCCATCAGCTGTAGCCAGACGTGCAGATTAATTTTATAACCGCTGGCCGAAATGATCTTTCTCCTTTCCGGATATATCTGCATTGTGCTGTCTTTGCTCCTACTTGGCAGGCTGATCTTGCGGGACACACTTTTGTTCCTTTTTAAAAGTGCAAAGTCTTGGTGCGTCATTTCTGAACGTGTTAGACTTGATTTCTGCATTATTGCAGCTAGTCAGTCTGATCTCAGTCTAATCAGTCTGTCTTTTGTCTTGGCATTAGCTTCTCTTCACTTCTTCCTTCCTCCTGTGAGCATTTGAGGCGTGATGTTGATTTCATATGTTTAATCTGAACCTCATGTTGGTGCATACAAAGTCTGACGACGGACCAGCCGACAGCTTGACATTGACACAGGAACCCCTCCCCCATTTGTGATGTAAATGCTGTAAAAATATGAACCATGCGTATTTTGATTGGTCAAATTAAAACTGTTGTTCTTTCTCAGATACCTGAGGCACAAAGATGAGTCGGCAACGCGTAGACTCCCAGGGTTCCCTGGGGCCCGACGATGAGGTCATGCCGTACAGTGATGATGAAACGGATGACGAATTGCAAGCCAGCTCTGAAGAGGAACCAGAGGAACCAGAAGAGGTGCCAGGAGTCCCGCATCCACCAGTGGATGTTAAACATGGTAAACACCTTTTATTACTCCTTTATGCACCTTTTGTGTAGTTTTAGATCTTCCAGCAGGGATCTCTGTCTGCATCTAGGCTTAGAACTCAAGAGGACAGAGCTTTTTCTGTCAGGAAGGCTCTGGAATGACCTGCCAGAGGAAACTAGGCTTAGAGTCAGTGTATAATGTCTAAAAATACAGTTATTGTTATATACCACGAATGACATACATTCTATTTTTAATTTACTTTATTTTGAGAAGTCCCTTTCTTCTAAGTCATCTTTCCCAGAGTCCGATGAGAAGTTTCATTTTTGTGCATCTAGTACAGAGCGGGGTCAAGGATATGTTTAGCCTAGCTTAGCCCAAAGAGTGAAAACAGGCGGAAAATGCTAGCTTAGCTCCGTCAAAAGAGACAAAATATACCTGATTTACATGAGGTATATTCCTTGTAAAGGAGTCACAAAAACACTTATTATTTATTCTGTAGTTTACACATTACATTTTTGTTAAGGAAAGATATTTTTGAATGTTTTCTTTTCAGAGATGGGATGGAAGGTGAAAGCCAACGACCGACCTTATCACAACCTGCCAGAGTTTAAGAAAAAAGTATTCCTCTGCATCAAGAAGAGCCGATACTCTGTAAGTTCAACTGTTTACATAAAACTATTTGATGTCCTCGCCTGAAGCGTGCCTTTATTCTCCCACCTTGTTGGTCCTGGTAGAAACTTATCCTGAGCATATAGACCCGGGCATGGCTGACACACCCTGGACAAGGAGCAGGACGAGTGTGTATTATGTTTTAAATGAACTATTCATCATGCCCTTTATTTTTCAAATCATCCCACAGTCAGTCTCTTTCTTCAAGGCTGTCATTGGACGTTTAAAGCAACTCTGAAGTCTGATGTTCAAAGACTGGAGACGAGCACAGCATTCAAGAGTTGTACTGATGATAAAAATTCACACTTGCAAAACAAACACTAACTAAAAACTAAGCTTTTGTCCGTGTGATCCTCAAAATTTCCAACAAGCACTTGAATTTCCCTACAAGGAAGTGTTTCAAAATGACTCTTTAACCTAAATAAGATCCTGTGTACAAAGGGCATCAGAAAGCATTAACTGACCTCATACTGTACATGTCTGTGAGGGGCGAAATTGGTGTAAAACATTTATCCCAGGTTCATGGATGAGTGCGATGTACAACACCAACAAGGAAGTCTGCTATGCTAATTTGATAGCTAATTTGATTTTCCTTGTCTGCTTCCTCCTGATGTCGCCTGTCTGTTTCTGCTGAGTCATTTCTGACTCCCATCAGGTCTCAAGTTTCAATGTATTAGTGGATAGCCCCTTCAGATGCAGCATCTCGTTTTCAAGACGGTCCAAAAAAACATGCATACATAACACAACAGCAATAAATAAAAATAATAACAGATACAGATAGACAGAATAAATACTCATGAGCGAGTCATGTTGTAAATATGTTGTATTTATGCTTTGGGGGTTCTTTTATGTCGTAAACTAGTTTTGAATGAAGATGAAAGATGAGATAATGTGGAAGCATGTGAATGAATGACAACCAGGTGTTGATTTAGTGGAGAGCTTTCACTAGATTATGGCTTTTCTTGGATTCTGTTCATTTTTGGTTAATCAACTGTTTTGTTAAGTTAGTCTGTCTGACACATGGAAGAAATCGTTTGAAATACTTTCTGTATAATTTAAAACTCTAGCTGACTGGGGAAATGCAGAAACTTGCTGGTGTGAACAGTAAGTATTTTTCTGTCTGAAGCTTTGTGTCGTCAGTCTTTGTGAAGGCTGAAACCTGATTATCCACCTGAGCCAACGTGTCTCTCACTAATCGGCACATTAGACACAGCAATACAATACTATACTGGGACTGAAGCCGGAACATGTTAGAAACAGTAATCTAGAGTCCTAGATGTAATGATGTTGGAGAGAAAGTAAAAGAAAGGTGATGAATGTTTGTCCTAACTGGTCAGAGTTCAAATGGTTATCTGTAATGAAATGCTGCTCTATATCATTACTGGCATCCACACAAACTGGCCCATTGTCTGTACAGTCAACCAGGACACTGACTATTAAGTTGAAACTACTTATTCTTGTTAGTTCTTAAATTGTTTCCTTAAAGTAATGCTCTAGCCCCAGCCTCTGCCTATATAGCTTTGGTCTGGGAGTGTCTTTACTGGTTTGTTTTGGGCCCCTTACATTTATTCATTTAGCTGACACTTTTATCCAAAGCGACTTACAATTGCTATGTATGTCAGAGGTCGCACGCCTCTGGAGCAACTAGGGGCTGAGTGTCTTGCTCAGGGACACATTGGTGGGTCACAGTGGGGAGTTGAACCTGAGTCTCCCACACATCTTATCCACTGCTCCATCACCACCCCAACACCCCTTAATTATAATGAAGGGACATCTTAATGCAACAGCGTCCAATGATCTATCGATAATGTTCCCCCAACTCTGGGTTAACTGTTTGTGTTTGGCCCTTTTTCTGTTTGAACATGACAATGTCCCCGTGCACAAAGCCAGATCCATAAAGAAATAGTTTTCCCAATTTGTGGGTCTGGCCTCGACCCTATCCAACACCTTTGGGATCAAGTGGAACGCTGACAGGCCAAACAGACAGCACAGATATGGAGGTTATTCTGTGAAATAAACAGGGAAGTGCTCTCCACTGAGTGGAGACCAGGCTATTCTCTGCTTAAACACAGCACCACCTCAGTACTGATACCGTGATAACTGGTGTGATGCATGCTGATTCATGGTGAATACAGGACTAACTGCTGTCTTTAAGGCCAGTTATCTTTGACAGTTCTGAATAATGTTTTACATTTTCCATCCTTAGATGCTTTGCTTTCTGGACATTCTTTTAACTATAAAATAATATATGGCAGACACACTTTGAGCCACTGTTATTTTCAAACGATGCCATGGCTGCTAAGACTCATTGACCAAACTTTCACTTCAAACCTTTAGTATATTTCCAGTACTTTTTTAAAAGTAGTTTTTCAGCACTTAAAGTTGATCGTAGAGATTTATTGTGACAATAATAAATACATTTTTGTAAAACCTGAGTAACTGCTATTAAAGCTTCATTGATTTGGTATTGCAGATGATCCTACATTTCCCATAGTGCAAGTTGTCTTTCCATTAGACCTTTCCTGCCTGGTGAGCGCCCTTCAAGCATCTTTTAAACACTAGACCTCTAGTTTGTAACTGACTGTTTTTTAGCAGAGGTAACCCTGATGACATCACTATGACATAATCTGGGTTAGATTCTCAGAACCTCCTCCAGAGCCCCATGTGGCGTTACGCAACTGTTTTGACTGGATGAATAGCAGTCATAATGACCAGTGAACAGATCACCCCCCGGGGTGCATATGTTCTGCACTTTAACAGCACAGGACCAAATACTAACTAACTTTGGGCTCATCATTGTCTGCTATTTGTTTGTCCTCTGCAGGGAAATGCCATAAAGACGTACAAGTACAATGTTCTCACCTTCCTGCCCTTGAACCTGTATGAGCAGTTTAAGAGAGCTGCCAACCTGTATTTTCTGGCCCTGCTCATCCTACAGGTATGTCTTTAAAAAAAGGAGGAAAAAAAGCAGTCTTTTGATATACAGTGTTATAAAAAACAAGGCCCAATAAGTGCCATAAACAGTTTGTCTGTTTTTCTAGATTATTCCACAAATTACCACTCTGCCCTGGTACACCACTCTGATTCCTCTGGTCGTGGTGCTGGGAGTCACTGCTATCAAAGACCTGGTGGACGATCTGGTAGGACTTCTGTCTCTTGACCACGCACACACTTGCCATAACCACTACATGCCTAAACCTACCGTAACCGCAAACCAAGTGTCAGTCTCTCAGAAATGTAATGATTTACATGATTTATTGGGGACGTGTGTTTGTCCCCTTATGTGTCGCCAAATGTGAGTCCCCCCCACCACTCGCGAGCTCCTCACTCGGGTTGCCGCAGGCTTCCCCCGCCGTCACTTGCGGAGCTCCTCAACTCCGAAAACTACCGTACAGTGGAAAAGGGGCTTAATTTTGGGGAAGTAACCTCTTTAAATAGGTTTTTTTCTTTTAAGTTAGAAACTCCTGGACTTTAATAGCTTCTGTGTTTCAGCTGATTTTCTGCTCATGTTCAAAACTTGTGCACCTTCAGAATCTCTCATGTGTTCTCTTACATGTCAAGAAAGTCATAAGAGAATAACATTATCATTTGATAAGAAGTCTACGTGCCCTTTACTCTGCTGTGCATTACATTATTAATGTGCTGGAAGTAATGTTATCCTGTTCAGACCATTGGACCCACGCAGTTTGAGACTGCATGTGCAACTGAAAGTAACTGAAACACTTGATCAGACAGAAATCTCACCACAAATCCACATTTAATTCATCAGCTCTGATAAAGTGCAGCTCGCTGTCCAAAACAGATGTTTATGTTGTAAAACTCTACCAGTTACGTTACCACTCATCTCAGCTGTCTGGACTCACAGCGCGAGTGGTGCGGTTGATTACTGTCAGGGTGTACGCCGTGTGGCATCAGCAGGGCGGAGTTGATTAGCTCCGCGTGTCTTATCAGTTATACATTTGTATTTCACAACGTGAGAAAATAAATGCGTGGCTTGACTGACAGCATGTGTAAAATGTCAATTGCGCGAGTCTCGCGAGACAGTGGCACGAGATCTCGTCACACCACTAGTGCTAAATCCACTACAGGTGGAATCTATTGTAAGAGTTTGTTGAAAGCTCTGACAAAAGAAACCCGAATTCTGTTAGATGTTTTTGTAAGTACTTCAAGCTCACGTTTTATTCTACGGTTCTACTGATCATTCAGTCATAGAACTATGAGAAAATGGTGGTATGCAGTAATTTAAGGGAAGTTTTCTACCAGACAGTTTGAATGAAGCTAGTGCACATGGGAATACCTTTTGGAGCCTTACCAATACTGGATTTTGAGAGGCAGATTTTTTGATAGTTTTTTTCCCCCAAGTTTTAAAGCTTAATGCAAAGATAAATTAAATTACTATTAAAGCTATAGTATATTGTCACGTGATTATATGGACCGTACTCAGGGGTGCAATGGATCACAAAACTCATATCACGGTTTTGAGCCGCAGATCAGATAATTTTTTGGAACAGCAAAAAAAAATTGAGCTATTTCGGCTGCCAACTAACTGTACTTGTGAAGGTGCTTTCTAGTCTTTCCACCTCTCTTGCCGCCTTGCACTACATGTCAAATTCATTCCATTCGCACACATTCAAGCACTGATGGCAGCGGCTACCATGTTACATATGCCACATATTTAAATGTTATCTGGTTTGCTCTGACCTTTTATTTTTTTATATATATACATTTTTTTTATTTATTTTTTTGTTCTTCCAGGCCCGTCACAGGATGGACAAGGAGGTCAACAACAGGAAGTGCGAGGTCCTGCTTGACGGCAGGTCAGAACACAGTTAATTTTCTATTTGCTTTGATTTAATAAACCAAGATATTCACTGTATTTAACTGGCACAGTTTTGAGAACTGGGAGTATGCCAAAGTCCTGTCAACATGTTTAGATACTGACAAATTAACCAAGAAAGAATTTTTTTTTTTGTAGCATTTTATATAGCCTTCTGAAATAGGATCTGCTTTAACACCTGGCGTATATCAAAACATATTTTGTGTTGAATGTGAGGTTTGTTCTTGTACAGTGTGTGCCAGTGTTCACTTACTGGCACACACTGTACATTCTTTCTTGTCTTGGTATGTCATTATAAAGTGATGGCATGGAAATACGTATAAAAACTGTGATTGGTCCTCTCTGCTTCAGGTTTCAGGAGTCAAAGTGGAGGAACATCAAAGTTGGAGATGTGGTTCGTCTGAAGAAGAATGACTTCATTCCGGTGGGATGATTTAGCCTGCATAATTAGAGATTGTTTAAATGGGCATGTGTGACCTGTCGTTTCAAACTGACCCAGTGGGTGAAAACCACCATGAAGGTTTCTCCTGCATCCACAAAATACATAACTGACATGCAAGATTTGAGGAAATTCTTGTAGTTTACTTTCAAATGTTCGTAAGCTTATTATTTTCAGTATATTTTATGGTAAATTTATCAGTTGTTACAGGACGGGTGGGTGTTCTGATGTAGCCTAGCTAGTGAGCAGTAACATGGGTAACTGCTGTATGTTTATTTAGTTTCATGGTCAGTAAGTTGATGCATTTCACATTTTTAATATTTAAATTTATTTTCTTCAGGCGGACATCCTGCTGTTATCCAGCTCCAACCCAAACAGCCTGTGCTATGTAGAAACGGCTGAGCTCGACGGGTAAGAATCTTCACTTTTTAAATGTACTTTCTGCCACCAAAAAAACAAACAAACTGTGATCTTTATCATAATTCAGTGTTATACACACTTAGTTTTGAAATAAGGAACTGCATTTTGTACAGAGTCGCCGCTGGAGCTGCTCTCTTTGCTCTGATAAGTTTTTGTTTGAGCTGTAGATTTCTCAAGCGTTCAGTCAACAAATTACTCACTGATAAGAGGAGAGTAAATGTGTGAAGAGCTTTTGCCAAGAGCTAAACAAGCTCGGCCATGTGACCAGTGTATATTCTTTGAGTAAGTGAGAAACGCCTTGAAATCAAACAGACTGGCCTGCCCAAATGAAATGCCTTTTATTTTTACAATAAATGGTAACTAAACTGAAACCGAGATCACTCTCACCTTTCTTTGTGTTTTTCAGAGCTTGGAGGCATGTAACTGGTATCAGAGAATGAATTAAGAACTCATTTGTTTTCATAAATAAGCTTTATTTATCCAGGCTGGCCAAGTCACCCTCAACATGTGCAGAAACTCCTCTTTCCAAACTGTTTAACTGTGTCTGCTCTGCTGTCCCTTAGTGCTTGGTTTTCAGTCCTCCTTTCTGTACGTTTCCTTTCCTCTACAGGGAGACCAACCTGAAATTTAGGATGGGACTCCGTGTGACTGATGAGAGACTGCAGGAGGAACGTCAGCTGGCTGAGTTTGATGGTAAGCATGGTTCACAACTGCAAGCCTACGTTTATTTGCTTTTAATCACTCAAACAGACAAAACAAACAAAAGTAATTAATACATAGAACCAGTGATTAAATAATATCACACACTGACTCTGATAACAGCAGCAGGCACAGATAAGAATTAAGCGTGTTTAGATTATGTAATGTGAACATGAGTTAATTTTTAGTTTCAGGTAAGGTCTGGTAGTCTTTGTGTTTTACTTCTTAAAGAAATAGAAACTGTATTTGTTATAGGGGTATTTTTCACTTCAAAAAATCATCAGTTAACATTAAGGTAAGGTGATAGAATAATTTCCACTGTGCAATTAAATAAATAAGATAAACCTGATAATGTGACTGAAGTGTTCAAGTACAAGCCACTGTAGTTGAAGGGAATTTAAAGCGCTGTGGCAGAGGGTGGTCAGTAGAGGTCAGAGGGTTAAGGGTTAACCCTGATTTTCATCTTTACTTTACTAATGACAGACTGTCATGAAAGATACAGAACTAATACATGCTGCACAGAGAAGAACGCTTCTAATTTGAATAGTTTTTACTTTTGTGACTTGAATGAAAGCCCTCCTTGTGTACCATTCATTTCTCCTGAAGCCCTGATCGAGTGCGAGGAGCCAAACAACCGCCTGGACAAATTCACAGGGACGATGCTGTGGCAGACGAAGCGCTACCCTTTGGACCTGGACAACATGCTGCTCCGAGGCTGCACCATCAGAAACACAGAGGAGACTCACGGGCTTGTCATCTTTGCAGGTGTGTGAACCCTCCACTGCATCACTGCTCCACATGAGATGATGTCACTGCAGAACCATTCAAAGCTTATTTTAAAGCTAGTCTTTAAAAAAAAAAACAACACATAACAAATATCCCTGAAATGGTTAATCAGTTAATGTCTTAGATAATTAATCTGCAACAGTTGATTAATTGTGGGGGGTGGTGATGGCACATAGACGATAGTGCGACCTCTGACATGTATAGCTTTGGATAAAAGCGTCAGCTAAATGAATAAATGTAAATTACCATCTTCATCTGGTATGATGGTAAATTGAATAACTTTGGGTTGTTGGTCCAACAAAACAAGACATGTGAGGATGTATCCTTTGGGCATTTGCCAATATATTCTGACAGTATTATTGATGACTGGTTACCAGTAAGGACCAGTAGCAATGGCTAGAATTCACCATTTTCAAATGTTTGCCGTAGGAGCCGACACCAAAATCATGAAGAATGGGGGGAAGACGAGGTTCAAGAGGACCAAAATTGATGAGCTGATGAACTACATGGTTTACACAGTAAGTTTGAGTCAGAGTCAGGGTTTTCTACTAGCTTATTTCACCATTAAAATGTACTTCATTCTCCACCTTGTTTTAGTGTTTACTTTCTACTTAAAACTACTCCCTTTCCCTTCAGTTCTCATTTCCCCACACGCAAAATCAAACCAAAGTGGTAGCTAACGAATGACATCTACACTGGTGTGTTCACTGTTGCTCGGTCCGTGCTTGTAAAATATCCACCATGTCAGCGTTCTGTTACGGAATAAGAAAACAACTTTCTCTGTGTTTCTCTGCAAAATGCCAAAGTGGGTCGCAAAATGTACCAAGTCTAAATGTGGGGAAACACTGTTTAACTACCTCCTCAGTACCATGTGAGCGTGGCCTACCGATGGCACAAGACTGTACTGCAATTGGCTAATTAGCTAAGTACAGCAAAGTCAATGGGAAAGGGATTTTATTGACCGCTGACAATAACAATAATCCGCTGCCACAGCCTGTCACACAATTTTGCACAGGTAATGATTTCAGCACACACAATTTATTCTTATTAAACCTTAAATCATTTGGCAGAATAAATATTTTTAATGAATGATTTTATAATCGGTTTAATTCCTCTTCACAAGCTATATTTCTTCAGATCTCATAAATACTGTGCAACCTTTTTTGATTTTACTAAACTGCTATCTATAGTCTATATCAGGGGTCGGCAAATAAGTCTGCCATCAGGCCAATTTTGTTAAATTTATAATCCGTCATTTACTGCGTGCCTGTTTAGCTCAGTCAGTAGTTTTTCTCCCTTTTCAACAAATTGATACTGAAGACATTGATTTACATGTTCACAATTTAGTGTGGAGTGTGTGCCTCCCCGGCGACATAACCAATAACCAATGGATGCTTATTTTCATTTCCCCAGTATCTTCAGGCAGAGGAGATTCCTGCGTTTGTCATTCAGGGGAATCCGATCAATGGCTGATTTTTCAGAAGTGTGTCAAGCAAGCCAGAGACTCTCTTAAATTTCCTTCAGAGCTTTTTAAAGTTAAAGCTCTCAATTAAACAAGACATAAAGTACTGCTGCAAAGATGCTCTTGTGCTTTTATTTTGTAGCCACAATCACTTAAGAGGAAGTGATTATGTGAGTAAGTTATGCTTTCATGACTGAGATCTGTTTTAGCACCAGCCACTATAATGTTTTTTTTGTTTGTTTTTTTTGCCGCTATCAAAGTAATCTGGCCACCGACCAGATATTATTGCTGGCTGTTATTTGGCCTGCGAGCCACCTATTGCCGACCGCTGGTCTGTATTGACTTTGAAATTGTTGTTGCCATCCCTGTGCACACAAATGTTCAAACAGAGGTAATCATAAAATGTAGCATGCGGGAGTCTCCCTGTCAGACATTAAATTCACTTTTTTAAATAACAGGTTATTATAAAATGTTTTAATTAATAATACTTTTTCTTAGTCACCCAGTGAAGAACTGTGTTTCTGTTCCCCCTCCCTGTAGATCTTTGTGCTGCTAATCCTGGTGGCGGCAGGGCTGGCCATCGGTCACACCTTCTGGTACGAGTCGATCGGCTCTAAGGCCTGGTATCTGTTTGACGGCCTTGACCAGAACTCCACCTACAGAGGCTTCCTCACCTTCTGGGGATACATCATTGTCCTCAACACCATGGTGCCCATTTCGCTTTATGTCAGGTCAGTAAAACATTACCCACATTTTTGGGTCTTGTCCACATATTCAGCCTTTCTGGGTGAAACTGGGAGTGCTAGCGTGAAGGAATGCTCGGTTTAAGTATTGATGTCACACTTCTCTTCCTTGTTTCTGGAAGGTAGGTCCAAAGTTTGTGTAAAAGTGATATTGATCTCCTGAGGATCTTTATGGCTGCAAGTAAACGTCATTATTAGTAAATGCTGGCTTCAGAGAAACCCTCCTACTACTGGCTTTTTAATAGGCCATCTGTCAATCTACAGAATACTATGACTACACAAAGACATGGGTGAAATGGAAAGGGATAGTTTAATGTTCTTTTTTTTTTCTACTTATTTGTTTGTCCAATGATGGTCTTATTCCAGTCCCCCTGTTCTTGTTGTGTATCATGTTCCTGGTTCATTTAAAATAGCAAAGGCATGCATTTATTTATTTTGCATTCCTGATCTGCTGCATTCCAAGTGCTTTGTCAAGCATCAACATGACTCTGTTCAGAGCAGAATAATGGCTGGAGCTACAGCATGGTTGTACAGCCTACAAAAAGCGCTAGCAGCTAATATTTATAGATGATGATTTAGTGCGCTGTACAGCCAGCATGGTCGTCATCCGATACCGACGTTTTGTCCGGGAAGCACTGGGATGAGACCTTGTTGGTGCAGAGGGCTCCGGTTGTGAAGTGAGTGACTTTACTGACAGAGCAGTATCTGTTGAGGTAATGCTAATATGTAACTAGGGATGCTCGTCGGTTTAGCCTGATGAAGAGAGACAAACTACAAAAAAGACAAACTACATTTCACGTGGATGTGTCTGTGTCTGATATGCTTCAACCACAGATGATCTTCCTCAGGTAAACGTGAAGAAATGAACACACCTGGATTTAATGGGCAGTAAATTATTTTAAAAAACATCACAGCTTTATATCCTAATTTGATTTGCTAAATAATTTATTTTATGAAACAAAAAATAATTTATATATTTAAACAAACTTTACGTACCTAACAGACTATAATCTCAATGTAGTATTTTGTGTTCACACTGGAAAAACTGTCCCGCTCTAAATGTGGTTAGGGTTATCTAATCAGGAAATGATGACTTTTCCTTTCATCACAAATAAATACCAGTGTATGTTTGCTTCTTTACCTTTAAGTAAGTGAAATAATTCCAGTCACATCCATATAAAATAAAAGACTTGGGGAGAAAAAGACACCCAAGTAAACTTTTCAGTAAATGCATTTGTACTCCTACACTCTTACTAGCAGTTATTTTGATGACCACTTTTTCTTTTATTTGAGTAAAATTTTTGTGGCTACTCTACCCACCTCTGACTAATAATGTTAATAAAGGGAAAGATGTCAGCGACGTGGCTTAGAGAAGTTAATGTTTCCTTCTTCTGGCAGTTTGGAAAAGACAGCATCTGCGTTTATAAGGGTTTTGGAAGAGCAGCATTAGCTCGTTACAAGTTGGGTTTATTGTCACATTCACATGCAGTGGTCAAGGAGCAGCTCTGCCTCCAACAGATAACTGTCAAACTAAAACTTAATTTCCTGTTTGTCTGCTTTGTGTTCAGCGTGGAGGCGATTCGTCTGGGCCAGAGTAGGTTCATCAACTGGGATCTGCAGATGTATTTCCCAGAGAAAGACACACCATCTAAGGTACATTATTACTACTTTAAAAAAAAATTTTATTACTACTTATTGTAATCTTCTTGACTTTATGACAAAACTAACATACATCAAACACCCTATGCACAGATTTATTATAATTTGCAGGTAAGAGAAAGAGAGCTAAATGTTAGACTTCCTTCATCAGGTATAATTCATGTAAGGATGACAACACCTGCAGGTTATTTGCCAGTATATTGCAATGATATTTCTATTTTACAGAGTTTTAAATATACAGTGATACACAGAAAAATACAGATACAGTACATAATGTAACATAATGGCAGATATTGCAGATGGTCTTTTACATAAGATGCTGTTTTATGTTCTATTTTCTTGAAACTTTAGGAGTACTTCATGTACTCCCAATGCATTTAGGCAAGAGAGAATGCCTTAATCAGTATTTTAAAAGTTCATATTCATGCTTTTTTTTTTTTTTCTTACTGCACATCCTACACTGATGATGATACAGTTTGTTAAAATGTTCTAATGTATTACCAGAAATAGTGCATGTCATAATCAACAATCTATTTATTTCAAAGGATCTAACTTTTTACAGCTAAAAGAAAGGGAGAACAAAACATTTCCCCCTTTTCTGACAAAATAATCTTAACTCAAGGTCCACCTAATCCAGAGCTTTCAACAGTCTTGAGTTTTTCTATTTATTCAGGTGCTTATTATCATGTGACCAAAGTTCAGTGATAAATTTCAATCTGCATTATTCTGCAGTTTTTTTTTATTAAATCAATTCTTGCCCCTGTGCAGGCTCGAACCACCACCCTAAACGAGCAGCTGGGTCAGATCGAGTACATCTTCTCCGACAAGACGGGAACCCTGACACAGAACATCATGCAGTTCAAGAAGTGCAGCATTGCTGGACGCACCTACGGTACTGCTCCGCTTTAGTTCACTCTAACATGAAAATAAATAAAATATCTGCTCCAAATGTATTGGAACTGTTTTAGTAGTTTTGTCAACCCATATTAACCTTAACTGAGGTACCTGAGCCAAGAAAAACTGAGACGCTAAATGTGGCAGCATTAGTGCCTTACTCAAAGATGTAAAATGTTTGAAATAACCTGTGAGGGAAAAATGGAAAGATACAGGAAGGGAACCATTAAAAGGTAGTTGTGGAGGTAAAGAGGACAAAGAAAGCACATGAGTGACACCTGCTGCCTATTATTGCAGTGACAATTTGTTATTGTCTCAGTGTCTTATTGATGCCAAAAATGTCAGACATACTGTTGACTAATATGGAGGATTTTTACATGAAATCGATTTTATACACATGCAACCAGTTTGCAGGAACTAAAGGGTTTGTATGTTCAGTCTGCCAATACCTGTTGACAGCATTGTGTTATCAGAAATCAAAAAAAAAAAAAAAAAAAAACCTTTAATGATCCCTTTGGGGAAACTGGTGCACTGCTACAGAAAGAAGTGCGACTTGGATAAGAGCAGAAATACAGATTAAATAAAATCTACAAAGAGAAATGGCTGTCAGACTACAGCACAGACAAAGTCAGATACAGTTACAAAGTGCTTTACAAAGGACAGAAAGAAAAATCGAATGCAGAACAAATGTAGATTGGTTATAGCTATAACTTGCTGTACCCTGTACTGTAAATCTGTAGTTTGTCATTCCAAGTTTTTGCTGTCCTTTCCACAGGTGACCCGACCACTGCTGAGGGAGTGGCGCTGGACAGAGGAAAGGTAAAATATCAAATGGACTTACTTTTCAGATTTTGATCAGTTAACTACACTGAACAAAATTATAAATGCAACAAAAGTGTTTGGTTTATAATTTTGTTCAGTGTAGTTAATTTGTATAAATGTCATGTCTTCCATACAGTCTATAGTAGAAACATTAGTAGTAACATTTTGGAGTGGTCTTTTATTGTGGCCAGCCTAAGGCACACCTGTGCAATACCCATGCTGTCTGATCAACATCTTGATATGCCACACCTGTGAGTTGGATGGATTATTTCAGCAAGGAGGTGCTCACTAACACAGATTTGAACAATATTTGAGAGAAATAGGCCTTTTGTGTACATAGAGAAAGTCTTAGATCTTTGAGTTCAGCTCATGACGAATGGGGGCAAAAACAAAAGTGTTGCGTTTATAATTTTGTTAAAGTGTAAGTCAACAGAATAATTACTAACTTTAAAAAAAAAAAAAAAAAAAACCCAACATTTTCATTTTTGTTTTCATGTTAGTCGGTGGATTGGAGCTGGAACCAGTACGCTGACAGAAAGTTCACGTTCATGGATCATTCCCTGGTTGCCTGCATCCGATCCAGGAAGGATAAAGATGTTTCAGAGTTCTTCAAACTGCTGTCCCTCTGCCACACCGTCATGGTGGAGCACAAAGACGGTAATCCTAAAATCTTGTTTTGGCAAAAGGGAAGCCTGAGTGGAACTAAGGTGGGATAGGTAAAAAGCAACCACCATGGCTAACTGTGATAGGCTGCAGCACCTGCCAATTAACCCTAACATCCCCTAAAGAGGACTGAATAAAAACTGTGTAGGAAGATCCTTTACTTTAAAAGAGAACAGGAGGCATGACCTCTTCATATATGGGTTCATGTGTTTCTCTCAGGTGATCTGGTGTACCAGGCAGCGTCTCCCGATGAGGGTGCTCTGGTGACGGCAGCCAGGAACTTCGGCTATGTGTTTCTGTCTCGTACGCAGGACACAATCACCATCAAGGAGATGGAGCAGGAGACCACCTACGAAATGTTGGCGCTGCTCGACTTCAACTCCGACCGCAAGCGCATGTCTATCATCTGTACGAGTGCACAGACACACACACACACATACAATTGCCCATACAAAACACATCATTGCTGGTTATTTGTTGTTTACATTAATTATAAGAAGAAGAAGAAGAAAATAAGTGACATGCTAGCTGCTGAAAACCTATTACATAAAGCTTGACCAACGATAACATATCTACAAGGGAGCTGCAGTCAATTCACACAAACTCGAAATCAAAATGTTTCATAAAACTAAATATAAAAACATACTTGAAAATGAATACAGGTTAAGTCTGGCAATAATCTTACTTCCTTAAAATTCTAAGACCAGCACTTAACGGAACCCACAGTACTAACATTGTCTATATATCCAAAGCCTGGTAGCTTATTTTATACAGTCTGTGGGTATATCTCGTCCTCTGTGCCTTAGAGCGCCATAAGTCCAAAAACTATTAAAAACACGACGGTGACCCACTCTGTTGTGCTGAATGAAATGTTCCTTCGTTACTATGAATACAAACACTGTAGATTATTTAGACTTAACCCCACATACAACTAAATATTTGAGATCTGTTTATATTATACCTTAGTTATTCTTCAGTAGGAACCATAGACTTTACATAAAGATGGATGACGCTTCTCCACTTCCTCCCACTATACAAAACTAATGCCACATATTCTGGGTCTTGCACTGGGGATTGGTGATCAAGGTTGGAGCCGCAGTATTCACCCAGCCGTCTTAATTGCAAGCAGGGCTCAGATGTTAATCATGAATTAAAGCATCAAATAACTGCTGACCTAAGACTTGACAAAATCAAAAAATGTAGGACAGGACGTTAACGCCAATGAATCTAACAGCATGTTGCCTTAGTAGGAGGCAAAGGTGCGTTTGGCAGCGTGCACCAGTTGACAACTTGAAACACAAAGTTTAGGGCTGGTCTTGACTCTGGAATGTATATTCAAAGCTAAAGACTTGTGACTTACACAATAGTGACCTCTCATCCTCTGTCCTACTGTCCCTTCTCTCTCAGTGAAGTTTCCTGATGGTCGCATTCGTCTCTACTGTAAAGGAGCTGACACAGTCATCTATGAGCGACTTTCCCCCAACTCCAGACATAAAGAAGCCACCCAGGAAGCTCTGGATGTGAGTTCACATTGCTTTATTCTCATTTACACTGTTGGCATGAAGACAGAAACGATGACATGCACGTCTGCAGCTGTTTTTCTCTTGTTCCTGTGGAAGGAAACGCGGTCTGTGTTTTGTGCTTCAGATCTTTGCCAACGCGACCTTGAGGACGCTGTGCTTGTGTTACAAAGACCTCAGCGCAGAAGAGTACAACAACTGGTCCATGAAACACAAAGAAGCCCAGGTGACCATGGTCGATAGAGAGGGTGCCCTCGACCGTGTGTACGAGCAGATCGAGAGCAACCTGATGGTGAGAGGAAAATCATGACAAATGAATCAAGAATGGACCTTCATTCCTAACAAAATTTGAGTTTTCGTTGGGAAAGTGGGGGCAACACTGAGAAAACCGGTTAGAGTAGAAGCACACTGCTCAAATCTGATTATCCGTTTGCCTTTTTAACTTTTTATCCTCAACACCAGAAAAGTCAGTAAAATGTGCCATGGTGTCCTTTGGCAGCAGCCACAACCTTTTAAAAATCCAGCTGAAAAACAGTTTGAGGCTCTTTACCCTTCACTAACAGTCTGGGCGTTTTTTGCTGAAATTCTATGAAAGTTAAATCAATGATCTGTCAGCCACATCTAACAACCTGTTATCCCTCTGTCCAGCTGATTGGGGCAACAGCCATTGAGGACAAATTGCAGGAAGGCGTTCCAGAGACCATCGCCACACTGGCCAAGGCCGACATCAAGATCTGGATCCTGACCGGAGATAAGAAAGGTACCATCACCTCAGGCTACAGAGAGGAGTCATACTGTTAGTTGACCTGTACTAAAAATAACCTATACAGCAACATGCTGTATAGGTTAAAGTATATTGTTGGATGAAACTGCCTCTTAAAAATACATAAAACTGGACCGACTATCTAAGGGTGCTTTTAAACCTGTAGTTCAGTTCATTTGGTCCGGACCAAGTGGAAAAAAATTATACTGTTGCATTTTAGTTCTGGTCCGGTTCATGTTCACACTGCATTTTTACAAACAAACCAGAGAAGTAACCATGACATTAAACACACGTACAGGTAACTTGTTGATTGGACAGCTTTCATCAGGACCCATGTGGGGAAATCAAACTCCGGTGACTGGCAGAAGTTTCTGCAAGACTTTAACGCTTCTGATCTGTATCGCAAAGAGCTCACAAAGTATTTTATTATAAGCATGATTAGTAATTTTAGACAGCAGATTATGAATAATAACTTAAAAACAGGACTTGTATAGTAATAATTCAGGGCTTATTAGCCTATAGTATACTGTGGTATCGCTGTCACATGTTTTATGGACTTAATGAACTGACAGGGTGAACAGAGTAGTACTACTTGGCCTCCTTTAGTAATAGCTTTTAACCAATATTCAAGGATAATACCCATGCTGACAAGTAGGCTATACCTTTTTATAAAATGATTTTCATAAACATAGTGGGTTATACAGATCAATTATAAGATCGCTGAACGCATTTCGGTCAGACGATGGATTGATTAGTGGTTTAGCTTGAGAAATAATGCTCAGATCACATCTAAAATTCTGTGTTTGGTTCGTTTGCTTTCACACCACAAGCGAACCGCACCAGAGTTCGTTTGAAGCATACGCTTGTTTGGTGCGCACCCGAGTGTGATTGCTGCATTCACACCTGCCCAAACGAACCGCCCCAAGAGGGGAAACAAACTCTAGTCCGATTCAACCGAACTAAATGAGGCGGGTGTGAAAGCGCCCTAAAATGAATGTTACTGTTGATGGACGAGGTTAAAATAGTTAGTTTAGCAGCTGCTTCTTCCTCCAATTTGGTATGTACTGTAGGAAGTGAATACTGGAAATTCTTTCTGCAGCGAAGTTTTTGCTTTAAGTCCCATTTAATTGGCATCAGCATCTGATCAGAACATTGTCCTGCTGCTGTTAACGCCTATAATTAAAAAGATTTGTCATGTTTTCGCCACTTACTTCAATGTGTTTTATCTTTTTCTCAGAAACGGCAGAGAACATCGGATATTCTTGTTCACTTTTGACAGACGACATGCAGATCCACTATGGAGAAGACGTCAAGTGAGTTGATTTAAAATGTGATGCCCTATAACAGCACTAGAATTTAAAACTCTTAAGATCAACTAATGTTCAAGTTGTGTCAGAAAGATTCCCCTTTTCCATCGATGTAATGTCGAATGAAAGAGCAGATTCTTTCTCATTCAAAGAAAAGGTAAAATAATAATGTGATACAATACTCACGTGGCAAATGTGTGTTGGATATTAAGTGTGATCGCTGTGATCATTCCTCCCTAACCTCTGGATATGATGCTGAGCACGTGCACTCAACTTCTTTGGTCGACCATGGCGAGGCCTGTTCTGAGTGGAACCTGTCCTGTTGAACCGCTGTATGGTCTTGGCCACCGTGCTGCAACTCAGTTTCAGGGTGTTGGCGATCTTCTTATAGCCTCGGCCCTCTTTATGTAGAGCAGCCGTTCTTTGGAAAATGGCTAATTGGGCCCAATTTGGACATTTTCACTTAGGGGTGTACTCACTTTTGTTGCCAGCAGTTTAGACATTAATGGCTGTGTGATGTGTTATTTTGAGGGGACAGCAAATTTACACTGTTCTACAAGCTGTACACTCACTACTTTACATTGTAGTAAAGTGTCATTTCTTCAGTGTTGTCACATGAAAATATATAATCAAATATTTACAATTAAGATGTGAGGGGTGTACTCACTTTTGTGAGATACTGTACATATCACAAGAGTTAGTCAGAAAGAGGTTAGTTTTGTTTGAGACTTGTGAGGCCTGTGGCATAATTTGCGATGTACAGTTTTCAGGTTTACGTCACACCTCTCATACCAAACCAAATCCATGTAACAGAAGGAGCCCTGCTTTTACGTACCAGCTCCTCGTTTTGTCTTGGCTGTTTGGAGTCCATCTCCTGTTCAGAATTACTCCGTTCTGTGTTGCATTCACACTCCTATGTTTGTGTTGCCATCATGCAAATTTTCTGCCTACATAGCATCATCCAAATGAGGAAAAATATTTCTGTTAAAGTGTGTGATTTCTGATACAACTAAATAAGTCATGGAGCATAATATGTAACAACTTTTTTTTTTTTTTCTATCTTCAAACATATCGTCATCTTGCACAGCCCTAGCTCTTGGTAAAACAAAACTGTATTTGTATTTAATCACTAGTCAATCTACCTGCCCCTCTCTACATGACTTAAAGAGGTGGTATTATACTTTTTGGCTTTTTAGTTATATACCTTTTTTGTGCATGTAATAGGTTTGCAAATTGAAAAATCCCAAATTCCAGCCCAAAGGAAGTTCCCATCTCCCACAGAAAACTGAGCTGCTTGAAAACAGCGCGTTTGTTTGCTCTAGTTCATGTTGCCAAGCTGGTCGGCAACATGTACAGCTGAATCGAAGCTGTTTACTGGCTTCTCACTGACCCGCCCTTCTCTGCTTCTGATTGGCTAGTAGTCCTTAACTAGGAACTGCGCATGTGCAACTCCCAACAAAGATTTAGAGACAAGATGTATCACTCCATAGCTAAAACGAATCCTTCAAGACATGGTGAAAAGAGGAGCATCAAATACGTTGGTTTCAACAGTTCACAAGGATCTAAGTCATATTGTGTTTTGTCTGTTTCGGTGTTTCCAGTGAGAAGCTGAGGATTCGTCAGAGCAACAGGAGAAACGAGCCCCCATCTGTCCGAGGCAGAAGGAAACCTGCCGAGCCTTTCTTCACCGAGCCAGGCAAAAACGCCCTCATCATCACTGGAGGATGGCTGGTGAGTTCCATTCAAGATTACCACTGTATTAAAATGATGACAAATGACAACTAAATACTAAAGTTATAGTATTTAGAATACAGCCATGGGAAAAGTGTCAACTATCTACCATAATAGCTGGTAGGAAATGAGGATTTATTCCGTTTTCTTTTCTCAGAATGAGATTCTGTATGAAAAGAAGAAGAAGCGTCGTCGTCTGCGTCTACGTCGTCTGGGAAAGCGGCCTCCTCCCAGCAATCCTCAGGATGGACAGCCGATGGACGACAAGGAGAAGGAGATGAGACAGGTACAACGAAATGAATGAAACGTTTAAGATAAGTGAGAGATTATTGTACGGACAGTGCATCCCATGATGGCTTACATTAAAGCAAACATGGTGAAATGTCTCTACAGATTGACTTTGTGGACATGGCCTGTGAGTGCGAGGCGGTCATCTGCTGTCGTGTGACACCCAAGCAGAAGGCCAACGTGGTGAGTTTGGTGAAGAAGTACAAGAAAGCTGTGACTCTGTCCATCGGAGACGGAGCCAATGACGTCAACATGATCAAGAGTAAGGACATGAATGAGCTCTCCTCACATTGAAGGACACATTCACATATAACACATTACCGCAAATCTACTCTAATCTCCTCCCCAACCTCTGTTCCTCTAGCTGCAGACATCGGTGTTGGTATCAGTGGTCAGGAGGGGATGCAGGCCGTCATGTCCAGCGACTACGCCTTTGCTCAGTTCCGTTACCTCGAGCGCCTCCTGCTGGTGCACGGACGCTGGTCCTACATCCGAATGTGCAAGTTCCTCCGTTACTTCTTCTTCAAGAACTTCGCCTTCACACTGGTCCATTTCTGGTATTCCTTCTTCAGCGGATACTCCGCACAGGTCCGTGGCACATACGCATTTCCTCATCTGCCTGGTCAGGCGGACATAGTATAACCTCATCCCTATATGTCTGATTACTCTCACCACCAGATACTGAATAATTGTTTTCCTGTCTGCAGGTTGCCTATGAAGACTGGTTCATCACTCTCTACAATCTCTGTTACAGTAGCTTACCGGTTCTACTAGTTGGCCTTCTTGACCAGGTAAAAATAGGATTTGAAGTAGAGGAGGGTCTCGGTCAACTGTTTTTTTTTTTTTTTGTTTTGTTGTTTTTTTTTTAATTCTGCAAATTCATAGCAAAGTAGTTGGTACAGTGTAAATTTCACAGGTTAATGTGAAGGCTTATGTACAGGATATAAGACACAGGTTGATCAAAATGACCTGATCAAAATAAAGGCATATGGCACTTCTCAGGTGGTGGAATTTGACCAATTTTTATCTTTTATCATTCTTTACATTTTCTTAAATCTAAAGTGTTCTTTAACAAAGGCTTATTTTTACAGATTTAAGTAACTATTACTGAGATATAGTCTTGTTTTCATTATAATTGTTATCACTCTGGCACTTTAAGTAGTGGTACCAAAAATCCGATCCAGAACTTCTACCCTCTGTTTGTTCCATTATTTCTGTCAATTAAACAAAAATGGAAACTCAAAATGCATTGTAATACAGGTTTGGAAATCGGTTCCATCCTCTATTGCTCAATAAGAGAAAAGATAAAACTCATGCAGAACTGTTAATTAAGCCCCTCCGCTTCCTCCCCCTTCTCCTGCTGCAGGATGTTAACGACAAACTGAGCTTGAAATTCCCCAAGCTCTACGTGCCTGGCCAGCAAGGGGCTTTGTTCAACTACAAGAACTTCTTCATCAGCTTGTTCCATGGCATCTTTGTCTCGCTCACCATCTTCTTCATCCCCTATGGAGCCTTCCTGCAGACCATGGGGCAGGACGGTGAAGCCCCGTCCGACTACCAGTCCTTTGCTGTCGTCCTTGCCTCATCACTCGTCTTTACAGTTAACCTACAGGTGAGCCGCACACTACTAGTGTTTAATTGTTGGGATGGGGAGGGGGGGCTTGTGTCTAGCAGCCATGTCTGGCATGTTAAAACTATCTGATGAGAACCTGCTAGTATGCTAACATTAACATGCTGATTTGAATCGGATTCATTAACATTTGCTACATTTCCCTCAGTGGAAGTGTTCATTAAAACATGTATGTTAGGTTAATTTGCCAGCCAGTAGGTCTTGGTACTGCTCACAATACTTAGGGCAGTTTAAATGCAGAGAATACATTTCTACTAAAAAAGAAAATATACAAGGTAAACTGGAACTGTGTTTTATTTGAACAACCTGCTGACTTCTGCTCCACCTCCTGTTTGGCAGATCTCTCTGGAGACCTCCTACTGGACTTTCGTCAACTGCTTTGCGGTTTTGGGCAGCATAGCCATTTACTTTGGCATCATGTTTGACCTCCACAGTGCTGGGATCCATGTCATCTTCCCCTCATATTTCACCTTCACTGGTCAGTTGCCAACCATTCACCACAGAGTGACACAGTCAGCTGGCATGTCTGGCTGTACAGTCTCTTCTCCTAACCACTCTGAGCTGGATTTGAGAGCTGCAGAGAGTAACGTGTACTTTTTTGTCACTGTAAATTAGCAACTTGGGTTTCCTTTTTATTTAAAACCTCAGTGTTCCCAAACACAGACACCCAAGAGTTTCCTGGACAATTCACTATTCACGAACTGCAATTGTCCAAAATCTATAACTTATCTTGGTTCAACGATGCTCAACTCTGCCTTCATCAGTTTTTTATTTTTATTTCAATTCATACACACACTCACCACACAGGATCCCACCAACCATCGAGAGAAATTTGGGGTTTAGTGTCTTGTCTACGTGGGGATTGTTAAACACAACATCAAACCCCGCCCTCTTCACTACTCTCTTAACATGTGGGTTTTGTGTTCGTAGGTGTAGCGTCAAATGCTCTGCGTCAGCCTTACCTCTGGTTAACCATCATCCTGACTGTGGGCATCAGCCTGCTTCCAGTCATCTGCGTCCAGTTCCTCCATAAAACCATCTGGCCCTCTGTAGGAGACAAGGTGAGAGACCTCTGCTCTGCAAACTACCAATCTGCTCCTGGGACTGAATAATCATAGATAGATCTAGTTCTTATGTCAATTTTTTTTATTATGTCAAAAAAGGCAAATGGTTATAGTATACAAATCCCATACCTCCTCTTTTCCCATAAGATAAAAAAAAAAAAAAACAATGCAACAGTGTTTCTCTAATGTTACCTGCTTATTTCCCATCATCCCTCAGGTTCAGAGAAACAGGAAGAAGTACGAGATGGAGTTGGAAAAGGAGGAAAGGAAAAGGAAGCCAACTTTCGTTCGGGGCCGGCAGTCCCGCCGCTCCGGCTATGCCTTCTCTCACTCCCGTGGCTATGCCGACCTCATCTCGTCTGGGCAGAGCATTCGGAGCCGCCCGCCGGCCCGTGGCCGACTCCAAAACGCCATCAGGGAGGTGCCCCATGCAGAGGCTGAAAACATCTGATGGGGGCTGAGCAGGAGAGCAAAACTGTTGCCAGAGGGACTGTAAATATGAAGCACAAGGAGCTGTTTGTTTGTTGACTATCTGTGGAGTCACTGCTCACATTATCAACATCGGAATCTCTGCTCATAACAGCCTGGTCGGAGTTGAAGCGGACCTCTTTCTTTGGGGTGTTGCTTAGAAGATGATAAAAGAAAATGGCTCCTAAAGTTGCTGAATTTTTAAAAATGAAAAAGAGGCTTGAGTTAGCACCAGTAGTGTTGTAGTTTGACCCTAAACTCACTGCTTCCCGTTCCTCCTCTATGCACAAACTCTTCCAAAAGCCAATGGGGGAGGGGGGCAATACCGTAGTTTGAGGTCATGCAGCAACTGTGTGACTGACAATGTTGTTTAACTCAGGAGTTTTTAAATAAAAGTCTTATTTTTAGTCATTTTGTCATTTAGCTTAACACTGAATGCAGAGCTAAAACATTGTTTAATAGGATACTTTGACATTCACTGTTTTAGCCCAGTGTCTGTGGAGCACTTGATATGGGCTTGAAATGTAAAACACTTATATCCCAGTCAAGTTGTTCCGTAGATACGTGAAATCATTTGTTAGTTTTATTTCCGTCAGTTGAGATGCAAATAAAGAGATTTTTCTTCACTTTAAAACAATAGTCTAAAGCTAAACATATCAAGGTATCTTCTTTTAATGTTTTATTATAAATAATGGTGGGATATTATGCAAGGTGGGTCAGATGTTATAAATTGTCTTAATTTAAAAATAAGTTGTAAATAGTGATCTTTTCCCCTGTACTGTATCAAATATATAGCCCCTAGACAGAGAATTGTGGTTACTAATTTGAGGGACTTCAACTTTGTTCAACATTGAAATCTTTTAAATACATACTTCAAACATGAAACCTAATATTTGTTCTATACCTCACCTTTTGTTCTTTTTTTCTCCTAAGATACTGTAAACACATTCTGTAGGGAACCTGTAAGGAGCTGTAGTTTGACAATTGGCATAATGTAAATTAAGAAGGAGCACTTAATTTAAATTATGCAAATTGGGGAAGAAACACCGCAAGGAGGTTGTGGGTTATGTTCATTTGATTTTGTCTTGGGAAAGAAAAGAATGGCATACTGTTTAACTTGTGTGTTCCTTCAGTCATAAGTCATAAATAATGAGGTCTGTCTGTCTCTGGTTGTTTACAACGAACCCAAAGAAAATGTTTGTTTTTTTCAGTCCTATAATCCTATTTAGCATATCCGCTAAGTAGTGCTAAGCCAAAACTGACAGATTCCTGACTGTTACTGTATCCCTTTCATGCTAGTGTTACTGTATACAGGAAATGTCTTTTTTATTACCGAATGAATGAAGACAGTAGATGAGGATTGTTGTTGATTGTACAAGCAACAGTTTGGTCTCTGTCATATGATGCAATTTTATCATGTGGTTGTTAATAAAAGCTAAGGGCACATTTAGCAATCTGAATAAAGTGTTTATTTTATTGTGGTGATTTGTGCCTGTCACATTATGTAACTTGTAATTGTGTTGATTCAAATTTAACATGATTTGGTCAGGCTAAAATTAAAAGTTGATGTAAATTTAATAGAGCTTATAAAGAGCAACATCCCAGCTGGATCAACATCCAGAATGCACATTCCGTTCCAGAGTGCAACATTTTCCATTCAAGAATGTACAAACATTCCCTTCCAGAGTGCTTGTAGATCCATACCTCCTGTAGGCATGGATATCAGCACATGCCTGTAGGTACCAAATCCGTAATGCACAAAGTCAAACATTCCATTTCAGGGTGCTTGTAAGTGCCCGATCTGTATTATCCATGTCTACATTTCAAAAGTCCTGTCAAAAAAAACGGAAACCATGAAAGGAACTACTGATTTAACAGTCAAACAGAACAGTGGATATTTCACAAAAGATTTGTATAGATTTGTAAAAATTAACGACTGTCTAACATAGACGGCTGTCAAAGGGAATAAAGCATCGTAGTGGCGGTTGCACTCCACTTAATTGGGTCACCACCAGTATTACTGTTTTTGTATGGATAAATGCAGTAACTTGTGTTCTTTTTCACCACGTGATGGTAGCCATCTGTGAAAACTAAATTGCTGCTGGAAGAGGTGTTGGTGGGCCAGTAGGGGACGGTCTTCTCTCTGGTCCCAATAATAAGATCCCAATGCAGTGATAGGTACACTGTGCTGTAGGAGATGCTGTCCTTTGGTTGAGACATTCAAGAGATGGTATTATGCTCATTTTCAGGTTCAAAATCGTATTTAGGGGTTATACCAGAACAGGTTTACATGGTTTAATTTTCAAAAAACACCATATTTTTCCTCATATTGCACATTGCTGCAGCTCCTCTTTTCACCCTGTGTGTTGTACGTTCCGCTCTTGAGCTACAGAGTGATGAATCTTACTTGTACAAAATCTTTGTTGGGAGTTGCACATGCGCAGTTCCCATGTAAGGACTACTAGCCAATCAGAAGCAGAAAAGGGCGGGTCGTAAGAAACAAGGTAGTGTGTCAAAGCCACTTCAGACTGCGACCATAACCTAGCAGATGGTATACAGGTGCTGGTCATATAATTAGAATATCATCATTTATTTCAGTAATTCCATTCAAAAAGTGAAACTTAGATATTATATTCATTCATTACACACAGACTGATATATTTCAAATGTTTATTTCATTTAATTGTGATGATTAAAACTGACAACTAATGAAAATCCCAAATTCATCTAAATCTCTGAAAATTAGATTATTACTTAAGACCAATACAAAAAAAAGATTTTTAGAAATGTTGGCCAACTGAAAAGTATGAACATGAAAATTATGAGCATGTACAGCACTCAATACTTCGTTGGGGCCACTTTTGCCTGAATCACTGCAGCAATGCGGCGTGGCATGGAGTCCATCAGTCTGTGGCACTGCTCAGGTGTGATGAGAGCCCAGGTTGCTCTGATAGTGGCCTTCAGCTCTTCTGCATTGTTGGGTCTGGCTTATCGCATCTTCCTCTTCACAATACCCCATAGATTTTCTATAGGGTAAAGGTCAGGCGAGTTTGCTGGCCAATTAAGAACAGGGATACCATGGTCCTTAAACCAGGTACTGGTTGCTTTGGCACTGTGTGCGCAGGTGCCAAGTCCTGTTGGAAAATGAAATCTGCATCTCCATAAAGTTGGTCAGCAGCAGGAAGCATGAAGTGCTCTACAACTTCCTGATAGACGGTTGCGTTGACCTTGGACCTCAGAAAACACAGTGGATCAACACCAGCAGATGACATGGCACCCCAAACCACCATTGGAAACTTTACACTGGACTTCAAGCAACGTGGATTCTGTGCCTCTCCTCTCTTCCTCCAGACTCTGGGATCTTGATTTCCAAAAGAAATGCAAAATTTAACACGTCATAACTTTGGACCACTCAGCAGCAGTCCAGTCCTTTTTGTCTTTAGCCCAGACGAGACGCTTCTGACGCCGTGTCTTGTTCAAGAGTGGCTTGACACAACGAATGTGACAGCTGAAACCCATGTCTTGCATACGTCTGTGCGTGGTGGTTCTTGAAGCACTGACTCCAGCTGCAGTCCACTCTTTGTGAATCTCCCCCACATTTTTGAATGGGTTTTGTTTCACAATCCTCTCCAGGGTGCGGTTATCCCTATTTTACGCTTGTACACTTTTTTTCTACCACATCTTTTCCTTCCCTTCGCCTCTCTATTAATGTGCTTGGACACAGAGCTCTGTGAACAGCCAGCCTCTTTAGCAATGACCTTTTGTGTCTTGCCCTCCTTGTGCAAGGTGTCAATGGTCGTCTTTTGGACAGCTGTCAAGTCAGCAGTCTTCCCCATGATTGTGCAGCCTACAGAACTAGACTGAGAGACCATTTAAAGGCCTTTGCAGGTGTTTTGAGTTAATTAGCTGATTAGAGTGTGGCACCAGGTGTCTTCAATATTGAACCTTTTCACAATATTCTAATTTTCTGAGATACTGATTTTGGAGTTTTCATTAGTTGTCAGTTATAATCATCAAAATTAAAAGGAATGACCGCTTGAAATATATCTGTCTGTGTGGAATGAATGTACACATTATACAAGTTTCACTTTTTGAATGGAATTACTGAAATAAATCAACTTTTTGATGATATTCTAATTATATGACCAGCACCTGTAAGTTACTCTCAAGTCCACAACCACACAACATCATTGTTCCACATCTTACCATCAGGACTAAACCTTGAACTGTTGCAGGTGTTCTGACAATCTATGCTGCCTTGCCGAAAAATGCTACCATAGCGAAAATCGATAGACTCGACTCTACTACTATTTCTACAATGGAAAACCAAAGGGCCTCCGCTCAGACTAGCTTGGTTTGAGGGCGTGCCTGACCCCGCTAGCCGCTTGGCAAGCTTTATGGCACGTTTTCATTGTGACATCACAAGTAAAGGAAGTAAAGGCTGGACTACAAACGAGGTCCTCACTCATTGTGGTCATTAAATATCTAAACTAAACTAAATTACACACAGGTGAAACCACTAAGACAATCAAGGACAGGCTCAGGAAGAAAAACATGAAGAGAGACACTAGGGCAGACTAACTACAAACTAAAACAGGAAGTAAAGCTAACTGAAACACTCAAGGAATAATGTCACAAAATGAAACATAACACAGACATCAAAAACAAAGAGACAGTAAAACAAGACCAGAAAACACTAATGAACTAATAAACAAATGACCAAAGTAACACATTCTACAGAGAAGAGCAAACACAAGGGCAGGGAATGAACACAGAAACAAACACAAAACACACCTACCCAACCCAAACCCGTGACATAATGTTTTCAAAGTAATTAAATTTTGGGCTGTCTCAATTTGCATTCTGCCGTACTTACACTTGCTAGTTTAAGTGCACAAGTATGTTCACACTGACAGTTGCAGTGCACTGAGTTCCTGGATGTTGTCCTCACAATGGTCAAAAAGGTGATTTGTTGACTCACCCACCCTGAACTCCTCCATCTGTGGACTTTATTATTGTGGCTCTATAATGTCACCTGACTTCCTCATTTGCTCCTGATGGACAAGAGCCATTGCTACGACAACTAGAGAACTTTTGCTGTAACGACTGTTGTTGTCATTTTAAGTGGTAGGACAGTCTCAAAGTCTGACCTGAAAGGTGCCATGAAGTCCGCGTTGATTCCTACCTATGATATAAATGCTCTGACTGCTGCTTAAAATGAGTGTCATTTCTTCTATCCCAATTTTCAAAACTCAGGTTAAACAGGTTCCACAAAACAAGTATGTTTCATTACAGTCATGACACTGTAGCTACAAATAGCTTTTACAATCGTCTTCACTTCTTGCAAAAAAACATGTTTCCTAGGGATCAATTTGACAAGGTTTAGAATTCAACAAACAGGCCACAGTGTAAAAAAAAAAATACAAGCGGTGAAGGCAGCTATTGTGATACTGGCTTGCAAAAAGACGACACAATGAACTGATTAAATTAAATTAATTAAATTAAATTAACTGTCCTAAACAGATGAGAAAAATAAATCAACACTGAATATATTTTGACATGTCACTAGGAAAAGCACATGTGTAGCCTAAATAATCAACAATGGCTGAATTCCATTTAGCTACTATGTGGCTTACTGGGACACTTGAATAGAACAGAGCCATCCTTAATTTTATTAGTAACACCTGGGCTTTTCCTGCTTAATTCAAAATGTCAGTTGTGGAAAAAGCAGGAGACATTTTAGTTTGCTCCTTTCCTGACAGGTTGTTAGGCCAAACTTCACAGGAAGACTTAATGAAGTTATTTTCAAAATCCACTGAATTATTCTGTTTTATCATCTGACTGCTCTGTCTACCAATGATGCACTCAGCTTGGGATATACATCAATATGCACTCTGCTACACATTACTTAGGTTTACCAGTTAAAGTGAACAACTGGTCCACTTTAAAAAAGCTTTCCTGTCCCTGGCATGGTAATAAAACCCCAGCACTGCCTGTTTTTTGAGGCAGGGTTTCTACATGAGCTGTAACATCAACATCAAGACACTGTTCATAATTAATGAAAGTATAATGCACAGATGATGGCCTAAGTATTTAATTTTGTGAATACTTCGCGGGACTAAAAACAGAGGTGAATGTGGAGAAGTTTGTTGTTTCAAAAGTTATAGTGGGATACAAAATACAAACTTTGATCCAGAGAATGTCTAGTACACTAGAGCTTCTACAGTTCATTAAGCCTTACAAAGAAGTGTTGCATCAAAGACTGTACTGTAACTTGAGCTAAAGTTAACAGGAATGGTTTTTTTTGTATAATGTAATTTAATAAAACTATAACTAAGTTACTGAAAAGATCCTGTTACTAAAAACAATAACTGTAAGTTACTAAAACATTACATTATATACTAAACAAGACATTTTGAAAGCTTGAACATTGCCTTTGTCTCTTTTGTCCCGGATTGAA